GCAAATAGACAAACTAAAGCCTAATAAGTCACCTGGTCCCGATGAGATATTTGCCAGAGTATTAAAGGAATGTAAGGAAGAGCTTAGTATGCCCTTAGCAAAGTTGTTTAACATGTCCTTAAAAACAGTTGTAGTTCCAGAATCCTGGAGGGTAGCGAATGTAATACCGATCTTCAAGAAGGGGGATAGATCACTATCCTCTAACTACCGCCCAATCAGTCATTCATCAACTGTAGGCAAATTACTGGAATCAATCATTTCAAACTCTATTCGAAACCACCTGGACAAGCACAAATTGATCAATGATTCCCAGCATGGCTTCACAAGCGGGCGTTCATGTCTAACTAATCTATTAACATTCTTTTCATCAGTTTTCGAATAGGTGGACGAGGGGCACAATTATGATGTGGTATATCTCGACTTTAGCAAAGCCTTCGACAGAGTCCCCCACGAAAGACTAATAAGAAAGGTAGAAGCACATGGCATTAAAGGTAATATTATAAAATGGATTAGGGCGTGGTTACAGGATAGGAAACAGCGAGTGACCATTAACGGAGCTAAATCCCATTGGAGCAATGTCACAAGTGGAGTTCCCCAAGGCTCAGTACTTGGACCATTATTATTTATTATATACATAAGCGACATAGATATCGGCATAGACAGCAACATAAGTAAATTTGCTGATGACACTAAAACAGGACGTGTAATTAAATCTCACGAGGGCTCAGCAAAACTACAGGAAGATCTAAGCAAATTTTTCGAATGGTCTGAAAAATGGCAGATGAAATTCAATGTGGACAAATGTAAAGTACTCAGTATAGGAGACGTAAACAGGAAACCAGTTACCAGATGAACAAGGATGCCATTGAGAAATCCGACTGCGAGAGAGATTTAGGAGTAATGATAAGCAGGAATCTTAAGCCAAGTAAACAATGTGTTTTTGCTCGTAACAAGGCTAATAAAGCACTTGGGTTCATACAAAGGAGTGTTAGTTACAAGACTAGCGATGTCATCTTAAGATTATATCTTGCGCTTGTGAGACCTCACCTGGATTACGCAGCGCAGTTCTGGTCACTGTATTACAGACTGGATATAGAATCCTTGGAAAGAATCCAGAGGAGAATGACAAGACTAATCCCGGGCATTAGGAACCTTGAGTACAGAGACAGGTTAAAGCATCTTAATTTGCACTCCCTCGAGAGACGTAGAATGAGGGGCGACATGATAGAGGTGTATAAATAGAAGTCAGGGCTAAACAAAGGGGATATTACAAAGGTACTCAAACTATCCAACCAGGAGCGAAGTCGTAACAATGGTTTTAAATTAGACAAATTTAGATTTAGGCGCGAAATTGGTAAACACTGGTTTGGAGACAGAGTAGTGGATGACTGGAACAAGTTACCAAATATCATCATTAACTCGAATACGCTGAATAGCTTCAAACATAGGTTGGATGCTTATATGAGCAATAGGGTTTGGGCGTAAATGGGACTGCCCAGTGTGGGCCAATAGGCCCGCTGCAGTTTCCTCTATTCTTAAGTTCTTATGTTCTTATGCATGTTAGTGCCCTTCCTGACTGTGATTGGTCCCCTATAAAGCCTTTCCTCACTGCGATTGGGCCCCTGTAGTACCCTTCCTCACTGTGATTGGTCCCCTGTAAATTCTTTTCCTCACTGTGATTGGTCCCCTGTTATGCCTTTCCTCACCGTGATTGGCCCCCTGTATTTCCCTTTCTCACTGTGATTGGTCCCCTGTATTCCCGATCCTCACTGTGATTGGTCCCCTGTAGTAACCTTTCTCATTGTGATTGGTCCCCTGTAGTACCCTTCCTCACTGTGACTAGCCAGCCTGAGCCTCCGTTGCTGTGATTGGTCCATTGAACAGGACTTTCTCACATGACCTTCCCTATATAAAGGCACGGTACAGTAATGGCGGACATAATGGCTCCAAATTTCCCCCGAGACTCTCACCATTGCTGGAGTTGAGTTCCCGTGTCTTCAGTTACGAGGAAAATATTGTCTTAAGGATCTTTATGAATGAACGTCGTGGATTTTAAGACTTAATGACACTGAATATAAATGAAGAGAGAATAAATGAATAATAATTAGAAGAATTATAAAAATCGGGACCAAATTGAATATAATAATAATAATAATAATAATAAAGAAAAGTAAACAGACGTAGATTAATTTCTTATTTACTTACGGTGGGAAATAAATAAGGATAAATACATAATAAATTAAGATAGAAAACAAATACATTGATCTTGATACAGAAGACTTGAAGAAAGAAAAATAAACGTGAACAAAATATTAGTTAAGGTGGAAGGTGTGAGTGGTTGTGTTCCCTGTGGAGAGGTAGTGAGTGTGTCGAGATAATGCCCTCAGCACTGTCTCTCCTCCTGTGTGTGTGTGTGAGGTAGTGAGTGTGTCGAGATAATGCCCTCAGCACTGTCTCTCCTCCTGTGTGTGTGTGAGGTAGTGAGTGTGTCGAGATAATGACCTCAACACTGTCTCTCCTCCTGTGTGTGTGTGGTGAGGTAGTTAGTGTGTCGAGATAATGCCCTCAACACTGTCTCTCCTCCCATGTGTGTGAGGTGAGGTAAGTCGAGATAATGCCCCCAACACTGTCTCCTCCTGTGTGTGTGTGTGTGTGTGTGAGGTAGTGAGGGTGTCGAGATAATGCCTCAAACACTGTCTCTCCTCCTGTGTGTGTGTGTGTGTGAGGTAGTTAGGTGTCGAGATAATGCCTCAACACTGTCTCCTCCTGTGTGTGAGGTAGTGAGGGTGTCGAGATACTGCCTCAACACTGCCCTCCTCCTGTGTGTGTGTGTGTGAGGTAGTGAGTGTGTCGGGAGATAATGCCTCAGCACTGTCTCTCCTCCTGTGTGTGTGAGGTAGTGAGGGTGTCGAGGATAATGCCTCAACACTGCCCTCCTCCTGTGTGTGTGTGAGGTAGTGAGTGTGTCGAGATAATGCCCCTCAACACTGCCCTCCTCCTGTGTGTGTGTGGGAGGTAGTGAGGGTGTCGAGATAATGCCCTCAACACTGTCTCCTCCTGTGTGTGTGTGAGGTAGTGAGGGTGTCGAGATAATGCCCCCAACAACACTGTCTCCTGTGTGTGTGTGGAGGCAGAGGTGCCGAGATAATGCCCTCAACACTGCCCTCCTCCTGTGTGTGTGTGAGGTAGTGAGTGTGTCGAGATAATGCCTCAACACCCTCCTGTGTGTGTGAGGTAGTGAGGTGTCGAGATAATGCCCTCAACACTGTCTCCTCCTGTGTGTGTGGGAGGTAGTGAGGGTGTCGACAATGCTCAACACTGTCTCCTCCTGTGTGTGTGTGTGAGGTAGTGAGGGTGTCGAGATAATGCCCCCAACACTGTCTCCTCCTGTGTGTGTGTGAGGTAGTGAGTGTGTCGAGATAATGCCTCAACACTGTCTCCTGTGTGTGTGGGAGGTAGTGAGTGTGTCGAGATAATGCCTCAACACTGTCTCCTCCTGTGTGTGTGTGTGTGAGGTAGTGAGTGTGTCGAGATAATGCCCCCAGCACTGTCTCCTCCTGTGTGTGTGGAGGTAGTGAGGGTGTCGAGATAATGCCCTCAACACTCGTCTCCTGTGTGTGTGTGAGGTAGTGTGTCGAGATAATGCCTCAACACTGTCTCCTCCTGTGTGTGTGTGTGAGGTAGTGAGTGTAAGTCGAGATACTCTCAACACTGTCTCCTCCTGTGTGTGTGTGTGTGTGAGGTAGTGAGTGTGTCGAGATAATGCCCCCAACACTGTCTCTCCTCCTGTGTGTGTGTGAGGCAGTGAGTGTGTCGAGATAATGCCCCAACACTGTCTCCTCCTGTGTGTGTGTGTGGAGGTAGTGAGTGTAAGTCGAGATAATGCCCCTCAACACTGTCTCCTCCTGTGTGTGTGTGTGAGGTAGAGGTGTCGAGATAATGCCTCAACACTGTCTCCTCCTGTGTGTGTGTGGGAGGTAGTGAGTGTGTCGAGATAATGCCCCTAACACTGTCTCCTCCTGTGTGTGTGGGAGGTAGTGAGTGTGTCGATAATGCCCTCAACACTGTCTCTCCTCCTGTGTGTGTGTGGGAGGCAGTGAGTGTCGAGATAATGACCCCAACACTGTCTCTCCTCCTGTGTGTGTGTGTGTGAGGTAGTGAGGTAAGTCGAGATAATGCCCCTCAACACTGTCTCCTCCTGTGTGTGTGTGAGGTAGTGAGTGTGTCGAGATACTGTCCTCAACACTGTCTCTCCTCCTGTGTGTGTGTGTGTGTGTGTGTGAGGCAGTGAGTGTGTCGAGAACCGTCCTCAACACTGTCTCCTCCTGTGTGTGTGGGAGGGGCAGGGGAGGGTGGTGTCGAGACACTGTCCCCAACACTGTCTCTCCTCCTGTGTGTGTGTGAGGTAGTGAGTGTGTCGAGATAATGACCTCAACACTGTCTCCTCCTGTGTGTGTGTGTGGAGGTAGTGAGGGTGTCGAGATAATGCCCCTCAACACTGTCTCCTCCTGTGTGTGTGTGGAGGCAGGAGGTGGTCGAGATAATGGACCTCAACACTGCTCCTCCTCCTGTGTGTGTGTGAGGTAGTGAGGGTGTCGAGATAATGCCCCCAACACTGTCTCCTCCTGTGTGTGTGTGAGGTAGTGAGGGTGTCGAGATACTGTCTCTCAACACTGTCTCTCCTCCTGTGTGTGTGTGTGGGAGGAAGAGTGTGTCGAGATAATGACCTCAACACTGTCTCCTCCTGTGTGTGTGTGTGAGGTAGTGAGGGTGTCGAGATAATGCCCAACACTGTCTCCTCCTGTGTGTGTGTGAGGTAGTGAGTGTGTCGAGATAATGCCCTCAGCACTGTCTCTCCTCCTGTGTGTGTGTGAGGTAGTGAGTGTGTCGAGATAATGCCCTCAGCACTGTCTCTCCTCCTGTGTGTGTGTGTGTGTGTAGGCCAGAACAGCCACAGGTATACATACATGAGGGAGAGAACCGTGTGACCTTTTACCGAGATGATCACTGTCATCTTTGCCAGGTGAGATGACTACGTGGAGAAGGAGAGGTGAGGGAAGGAGGAAGGAGGGGTAGGAGGAGGAAGGAGGGGTAGGAGGGGAGGAAGGAGAGGTAAGGGAGGGAGGAAGGAGGGGTAGGAGGAGGGGAGGATGGTGTGGAGGAAGAAACAGAAATAAAGATGAAAGGAGGGAGAGAGGAAGAGAAAAATGAAGGATGGGAGGAAGTAGAAGATAAGAGAAAGGAGAGAGGGAGAGAGAGAAAACCAGTAAACGAACATGTGAAGAAAAAAGAAGAAAAACAAGGAATGAGACAGATGGATATAGAGGAGGAAGTGGAGGAGAGATGCACGAGGAAACGGAAAAAAAGAGAGAGAAGGAAATAGTAATGACAAAGAAACAATAAGAGACACAACAAAAATAAATACGTTTAACAGAATAACATAAAAAACGGCAAATAACATAACAAACAACAAGGAAAGAAGGAAACAAGGAAAGAAAGAAACAAGGAAACAAGGAAAGAAAGAAACAAGGAAACAAGGAAAGAAAGAAGCAAGGAACAAGGAAACAAGGAAACACAATATAACCGCATCACAGAGAATTACTGACAAGAGAACAAGGGAAGAAGACCAATCGTAGAAGGGATTAGTGAAACAAGAAGAGTAAGAGGAGGTACAAGACAGAGGGTAATAAAGGGGAGATAAATGAAGAAAAAGGAGGATAAGGAAGAGAATGGGGACAAGAGAGGGTAACATATGGTACAAAAAAGAGATTTAAATTAAGGTAATTATAAACTATTGAGTATCGCCTGGATGAAGGTAAGGTCTCATTAGAAGCGTCATTATTAATCTATCGTCTTAATTTCGCTCTCTGTCTGAGTACGATAGCTTAACCACTTGAGTAAGGTGGTTTTTAACCCCTTGAGTGCAATGATTTATCCCCGTGAGTACAATGATTTAACCCCTGAGTACGACGATTTAACCCCTGAGTACGATGACTTAACCCTTTGAGTACGAAGACTTTACGCCTTGGATACGATGAAAGAGAGAGAGAGATAGAGAGATAGAGAGAGTACAAACATAACACTGTGTTTTCAGCTTCCCGGAGTAAATATTTCAAGCAGGATGGACTGTTGCGTAACATTATGGACATCCAGTGTAGTGAGGGAGAGAGGGGCAGGAAGAGCGGTAGAGAGGGAGGGAGGCAGTGTGAGTTAATATAAGAGGGATGTGGAAGTGTCGACAGAGAGATTGGAGGTCCACACACATGAGGTGAGTGAGTGAGCAGCATGGTGTTGACGGTGGGTGAAGTGGCCAGTGTGTGTTGTGTGATTATGTCCCCTATGAGTGTCTGTCTCCATACACAGAAAGACAGTGTGTGTGTGGAAGGTGATTTAGGTGAGAGGTTGAATGGTGATGCAGGTGGTGGTGATTACAGGTGATGGTGGTGTTGATTACAGGTGATGGTGGTGTTGATTACAGGTGATGGTGGTGTTGATTACAGGTGATGGTGGTGTTGATTACAGGTGAGTGGTGTTGATTGCAGGTGATGGTGGTGTTGATTACAGGTGATGATAGTGGTTGATTACAGGTGATGGTGGTGTTGATTACAGGTGATAGTGGTGTTGATTACAGGTGATGGTGGTGTTGATTACAGGTGATACTCGAGTAGTGAAATATTGTTGTTGTATTTTTTAGGTTAGTTTATAGACAGTAGTATGTTCAGTGTTATTGTAGGTGTTGAAATAATGCTAAATAAAAGTGGACAAAATTAGATAAAACTTCAATTCAGGTGATGTGGTTTTAGGAGATAAATTAAGGAATAAATAATAAACAAGGAACTGAAAGAAGAAGAATGACAGAGTGAACACAAAACGGAAATAAAACACACTGGCGAAGAACTCAGTCCAGGGGAAACTGACAAACTAACCACAGCTACGGGAAGAGGAGGCCTTGTATTCGGATAAGAAAAAAATATTCGGATAAACGAGGAAAATTTTCAGTGAGGATGGCGTTATAGCCGCTGAGGTACCATGGATAAGGGTTGAATAGTGAGAATATAGAGTGTGAGGTGAGGGGACTATGTGAGGTGAAGGGGGAGGGACTATGGAGGTGAAGGGGAGGGGACTATGTGAGGTGAAGGGAGAGGGACTATGTGAGGTGAAGGGGAGGGGCTATGGAGGTGAAGGGAGAGGGACTATGTGAGGTGAAGGGAGAGGGACTATGTGGAGGAAGGGGAGGGACTAGGAGGTGAAGGGGGAGGGACTAGTGGAGGTAAGGAGACTATGAGGTGAAGGGGAGGGACTATGAGGTGAAGGGGAGGGGACTATGTGAGGTGAAGGTGGAGAGGACTATGTGAGGTGAAGGAGAGGGACTATGTGAGGTGAAGGGAGAGGGACTATGGGAGGTGAAGGGGAGGACTATGTGTGGTGAAGACGGAGGGGACTAGTGAGGTGAAGGGGGGGACTAGGAGGTGAAGGGGAGGGACTATGTGGGGTGGAAGGGGGGACTATGTGAGGTGAAGGGGGGACTATGAGGTGAAGGGAGGGGACTATGTGTGGTGAAAGGACTATGCGAGGAAGGGGGGGGACCTGTGGAGGTGAAGGGGGAGGGACTAGGAGGTGAAGGGGAGGACCATGTGTGAGGTGAAGACGGAGGGACTATGTGAGGTGAAGGGGAGGACTATGTGAGGTGAAGACGGAGGGACTATGAGGTGAAGACGGAGGGGACTATGTGGAGGTGAAGACGAGAGGACTATGAGGTGAAGAGGGAGGGACTATGTGAGGTGAAGGGGAGGGGACTATGGAGAAGGAGGGACTATGTGAGGTGAAGGAGGGACTAATGAGGTGAAGGGGGGACTATGTGAGGTGAAGGAGGAGGGACTATGTGAGGTGAAGACGGAGGGACTACGTGAGGTGAAGACGGAGGGGACTATGGAGGTGAAGGGGGGGACTATGAGGTGAAGGAGGGGACTATGTGACGTGAAGACGGAGGACTACACGGTTCCCTTTCTCATCATGTAAGACCATTTTGTATAATATTTTCTGTGACGTCGTAAATATTATACACGGAAATATTACACCATAAAAAAAGACATAGGAGTATTGTTTTGGTCATATTTAATACTTTTGTTGACAGGAAGGACTTAGTAAACGCTTGCAATAGTAAATTATTAGTTAGATCGATTTTTCTGCTTAACCTTATGTACTAAAACAGACGCCTTCACTGTATGGCGAAATAACATAGGATAACAAAACAAAAATCATCCCACAGATCCAATTTAAATGCGGAAAATAAATTGGGAGTTACTGAAAACTATCCACGTATCCTTGTCCAATGACTTTGGAAACTGGAAACTGGAAACACGTAATAAAAGAGGAAATATCAACTGGCCTTTAATTCCAGGTTTTTTCAGGTTAATCTAAAACAGGAATGGTACAAATCCTCGAGCAGGTGAGTGATAAATTGGTTACAGACTCACAGGACCCTCCTCAGTGCCTATGATTATTTCTTGACTGTGCATACGAAGCTAGAGGAGGGAGACTGGCTGACAGGCTGTGACGGCCAGGGGGGTTCTGATCTGTCACGAGTGGGATTTTTTTTTTACAAACTGTCGTTGGGTTTGTTGACATGAACCTCGGTGGAACTGTTTATAGGCAAAAATCCCTCATCTGCCCTGAGACCTAAGTTAATAATGTGACCTGACCTGAGTCGTTAAAATGAACTGACCTGACCTAATCTAATAATACTGTATGACTTGCTCAAACCTAATCTGACCTGACCTGACCTAATCTAATAATACTGTATGACTTGCTCAAACCTAATCTGACCTGACCTAACCTGAACTAATCTAATAATACTGTATGACTTGCTCAAACCTAATCTGACCTGACCTAACCTGAACTAATCTAATAATACTGTATGACTTGCTCAAACCTAATCTAACCTGACCTGACCTGACCTAATCTAATAATACTGTATGACTTGCTTAAACCTAATCTGACCTGACCTGAACTAATCTAATAATACTGTATGACTTGCTCAAACCTTATCTGACCTGACCTGACCTGAACTAATCTAATAATACTGTATGACTTGCTCAAACCTAATCTGACCTGACCTAACCTGAACTAATCTAATAATACTGTATGACTTGCTTAAACCTAATCTGACCTGAACCAAACCTAATATGACCTAATTTGACCTGAACTAAATTTAAAAATAATAATAACAGGGAATTTAAGATATTTTTTGTATGTTTCCATTATTTTTTCTTAACATGACCCAACCTGATCTATATAAATTTCCCCATATTCCAATTTTTATCCTGACTAATGAATGTTTCCCCTGAGTTGTCTAAATTTCCCTACGTTCTTCAGTTACCACTATTAAATTCTTCTCTCCTATTTTACCCTTTCCTCATCATTCACTTCCCCTAACATTATTGCATTTTTTCTACTATTTATCTATACAATTGCGTGTTTTCCCCTTTCTTTAATCGGTGTCAATATATTTCTTTCTCTACAATCCCTTGCCCCTCTTATTGTATTTCTTCTTGTTTTGCTCTTATTTTCAGTTTTATTATTGCTATTTCCTCCTATTCCTTACTTCTTTATTTGTTTTATTCTTTTGTTTCTATTTTAGTTTATTTTTTAATTTCAATGTTATTATCACTTCTTATCCCGCCTTCTGCCCGGTATCCCTTGATCACTTCTTATCCCGCCTTCTGCCCGGTATCCCTTGACCTCTCACCCCACCTCACTTCACCTCACCCCACCCCACCTCACCTCACCTCACCCCACCCCCCACCCCACCACCTCCACCTCACCTCACCTCACCTCACCTCACCTCACCTCACCCCACCTCACCTCACCCCACCTCACCCCACCTCACTTCTCCCCCTTCCTTCCCTCAACCCGGCATACCCTTCACCTCTCTCTCTTTCCGTTCTTATTCTTCTCTCTCTTTCTCTTCCCCTACGCTATTGTTTCATCCCTTTTCCTGTTTCCTTTGTTATTTCCGGGTTA